TCGTCTGGTTGAGCTTTAAACGATCACACTTTTTAATCGAACATGTCATATCCCCGCCTCCTGGCCAATCCGTGGCCAATCAGGCGAAACTTGTTACCACTAACCAATAGTCGCATGATTTGTCCAACTCACTGGCTATGCCACCTGGTGGGTGGACGCATGCTGCAGAGATAACTGCCTGAAGCTGTTAACCAAAACCTCACATCCAGTTCGTCTACGTTCATCCGATTATCCTGATAAGGGGTTTCCGTGGTTGTAAGGGGCCTGACCACAGCTTCGGTTTATTACTTTCATTCGTTTAGCTACTTAAAGGCTGTAAGTAGCAAGTTGCCATTTCACTTGATATTCGAGAGACAACGGAATTTCCTGCAATGTGCTCCGGTTACGCTATTCTCGGTGCTCATCAGTTGGGCATAAAGTCAAACTTTCCATCAACCTTCCATTGGACTGCAGCATCAAATTGCATGCCGGTGGTGGAATACACTCGTTCTCAACTTCAGTCCCTGTTGATAAAATATACTATTGAATCCTAGGTGAGTCTTTCGCTTATATCACTCTTCAACTGAGGGCCCTAGGTTGGATTCAGGTGAGTCTCACGTTAACACGAATTAGGTTTACCAAAGATATTTTTGACAGTTGAGTACAAGTGAATATTCAACTGGATCAACAGAGCGATCGAAACTCGGGTAGCAGGCCTAACTCAAAGGACTCAAATAGGTCGAAACCGGTGGCTGATTGTTGAGGCTTTGAACGTAGTTTTTTATGTCAGAAAGAAAGTTCTCCGTTCTTAGGAACATTCCGCGAGCCCTTTCGGTTTACCACCGGGATTATAAAAAATCAGTAACAATCTCAACTCGATTCACCTCAAGCTGCACTGGATACACAGGCCACATGCAGTTCTTGATAGAAAAAATGCTTTTAACCTGACTTTCAAAGCAACAATACCGGGCGATTTGCACATATGAAGAAAAAACAAACCCACCAATCATGTGGACGACAGAAGTTTTCATAAACGAAACTACTCATAAGGTTACTGAAAACGCTTCGACAGCCCATGACCAGTTTCGCCCTTGTTGGATATCACCTTGGAAGCACATTCACCGAGTTTCTGTCAACCTTATATCCTACTTGAACCCAAATACACTCATATGCAAATGACAGCAGTTTATTTAGAAAAATATTAAGGGTCAAGTTCCTTGAAGAGTGTTAGAATCAGGGTGTCATAAAATTACGATTTAAACACACAAACACACTCAGAGACTGACATTATCCTGAACTATGGCAATGAGAACAAAATTTAGATTCCAGGTTTATCACGAGACTTCTGAATATCAGATCCAGAAACGGGTCACAGAGTCAGACGCTTCCTTTCGCTGTGGGCATCAGTTGTCTTCATTGGACTTCACTCCGTTCTTACTTTAAAAAGCATTTTTACGAAGTGTTCTTCTTCGACTATTTGACTTTGCTGTAAAGTTTAGTTCTAGCTTTAGTGAATCAAAATTTGGAAGTGTCTATGGGTCGATGCCCTCTGTGAATCGCACAATATGAGGATCACGACTAAGTAATAATGAAAGTAGATCAATATCTTCAATTGTCATTTGATGGTCTTTGTATGACCGCCACCGCAGGTATTCCGACTCAAACTTACCACCGTTTGTACCATGGTAGCCGAGTGGTAACATATTCACCATACACCATTCCAGCCCTGAACAGATCTTTACGTGCCAATTTAGTAACCTCTAATCTTTTATGATCCTATCAGTTCAGAAAGCCACGACATTTTTTTGAGGCGAAAAGTCCCAATCGTCCACAGTTAATTCTGTGGACACAAGGTAGCAGATAAAATACAGTTGTACTTATTTACTCAACCAACTAAACAGCGCCGCATTTTACTATAAAATTTCAACTGGTCTTCGCAAATATTCCGTTCGCCTTCTATTCTGCTTCTGCGAAAGATGATTTAGTTGGACTATCGAGCGGGGAGGATGTTCCAAGACGGCAAACACTAAGCAGTTCGTTTTTCGATTTGAGCTTCAGAGCATGTCTGAGACATCAGTTTGCAGAATCTGTGCACCTGGACTGGAAACCGATAGAACTCTTACCTAAATGGAGAACTTCCACGCTAGACCTTAAGATGCCCCGACAGTGGAATTATTGTGAACTTTTTCCTATGCTGAAACTTTGTTTCAAGTTTTATAAAAGCAGCTAAAGCGTTGCACTTGTTTGGAGTGAAGTTATATTAATAGCTGTTATAGGTACTATCTGGTAAGCAACTGAAAGATAGCAGCATTTTGAAATTGTCGTTACTAGAAGTCAACCATGGGAAATCCTATCATCCAAAATAGAACAACGAACAGGACGGATTAAAATTAGTGCGCAGCATTCTCCACAGACTGGTTATACTGGTCACTACATGTAAGCAGTTTCAACAGGGGTTAAAACAGTATGGTTTTTAATGGACCTTGACGTAATAGGAAAACTCCTCCCTTCTAAAAGAAACTACTTCCACAAGCCCAGTCATTAGAAAAATGCAGAGGCATGTCAGAGTAGAGCGATGCTGTCGCGCATTCAAGTACATGTTGTGCAGTCGAACTCGAAAACAATGCACTTTTTCTGATGAGCACTAGCTTTTAAAATAGTAGGACAAGATTAACGAAAATAGATTATTGTAAGTGTTGACATTTTCAGACTTTACTGCACTAGTGGTGCACATCAACATACTGGCTGATTCTTTCTTCATCCCGATGTGTTCCACCCACCTTAACGTATGAATGGCACAGGGTCATCACGAGTTATGAACTGCATCGCTCACTCGCTAATCAATTAGCAAATCTTTTCACTCATTCTTTCATGAACAGTTTCCCGATAGAAAGTCTAATGACAGAACGGCAGAAAAATGAATCCCGACTTTCACGTGGCCAAGCATGCAGCTGACAGAAAAGTATACTAACCCACTGATGTACGGTTTCCTTTCAAGGTTCAATGATGAGTGTTGTCAAACAAAACAACAGGTAATAAAAATAATAATGATAAATAATAATAATCACCGGATAAAATGTAAAGTGAAGCTATAGAACACTCAGAAATCGTTCAGCTGTAGCACCCATTCGGTGCCTAACTGCCATGCCACCCGAAGGTTCCAAGAGGTTTGGGATACTGCCAGGTTGCCCAAGCCTCGACAGGGAAAGTCGAGAGGCAGAAGCCGGGTTTGAACCACGGACCTCCCAGTCAGTAAATTCGCGCTCCAACCACTTGAGCCATCTCACCCCCCAATAGAACCCCCATCTTGTGTGCAGTGCGAATTACGTCACCATAAAAAGTTTAAACGCTCGCAAAACTATTGACACTTCACTGAGTTTCTTTGCTACATTTTTAGGCAGCGCAATGTGGCCAAACTGCAATTGATCCATTGGTTTCGTGGCCTTCAGAGTATGGTTCATTTTGCGGTATTTAGTCCAAAAGGTTTTTTGTTTAACTTGCACGTACTTCGTCAGAACAACCAATAACTTCCCACGGAAGTTGAATGCATTTTTGGCTCCTGTAAGCCGGATAAGGCCGCATGCACCAAGTATACGTGGGCACGCAGGCAATACATTCTAAAGTATGGCGGAGGTTTTCATCCTGTTATCCAGGTTTTCCACTTTTAGCTGCGTCACCATCACCACAGACGGCAAAACCAATCGAAACCGACCCTTCGCCGTCACACAACCATAGAAGGATCAGTTCAGAAGCCCATAAATGATATGAATGGCTTTTCGTTCCCTTTTTGTGCCCCAGTCGGTCCGTTCCCTGTGTGCACTGCGTTGAGGTCTGATCTTATCAACTTTGATAATTTGGTTGCGCTTTCTTTCTAGCGACTGGTCCCTCCGTTTGGTCAGTTAAGCGGATGTTGCTCTTTGTTCACTCGGTTCCATTGGTTTGCGGCAACTTACAGTCAAATTGATTCGTCCACCCCTACTTCATCTGCGGTGGATTTCTGTGCGGTTTCGAGCGATTTAAGTGGGAGTTCTCTTGTTCACAGCAGCTGGTGGACTTAATCAAATTCAATATTTGTTGATGGAGTGAAGTATCGCACCTCCATAAACTCACGTTCTTCCTCGTCCTCGCTTGAGTTAGTATGCAAACATCGTTTCAGTCTGACATGTTCCTCTCCTGGTCTTGGGCTACAAAAAAAGTGAAAATCGATCCCCTTTTGATGGCGAGTTTGTTTTCACGAAGTCTAGTGGAAATCCTTCGTTTGATATCCGCAACATCTTTACATGAAATTCTCAATACGACAGTGTTCACCATTGGATCTAATTACGTCTTCTTTAACGTGTGCCTTCCGCAAAGTGTTGACGAGTTCGTAGACCAGTGTTGTATATGCGGTAGTATGAACCCTGTAGTCATTTCGGTAATGTCCTCAATGGATCAAAGTGTGATATGTTTGCCTTCCCTGTACTGATGAGTTAATGGTATCAATTTTTTGGGATGATATCCAAGTAAGATTTATTAGGTATCCACTTCGTTAAAAGAAATCGTATAAGTGGTTTTCATCTTCAATTTCATACTCAGATGGTTGGGACCACCTCTACCTGAAGCGTTTTTGATGGTAGTTCGCAAGCTAGGGGCCTTAAAACTGATTTAATTGAGTCCAAGTTCAAGTCCGAATGTGTTGTACATGGCAAAGGGGCTGGCCGTCAGCACTCAAACTCACATTGTTACAGTGTCCAGTAAATGCTGGAAAAATTGGGTGTCTCCAATAGCACTTCGGCTACTAGATTCCTAGAAGACTTTCGGTTGAATACATTCGGACGTCATAAAAAACGGCCATATTTGGTAGGAAATCATTGAAAAACTCGGTGAATATTCGATTAGATCAGTCAGTTTTTCGGTACTTCTTTGATTGTCCTTCCTGGATGTTCACCGTAGACGTCAATTAATCGTATTCATTTACTGCAATAAAAAACCACGGGAAGAAAATGTGGCCAGATAACTCAGTCGCACCGTGTACATCGTTCGGAACATGGAATACCGGTGATAGGAAACCGATAACAGAGCAGGACTAGAGCAATCTCCATTCTCTTTATGAACCGAAGCACACGTTACTCTTTCAAGCCAACACTCCGGTAGCAGCCTGTGTGTGTGTGTGTGAACCTGACAGCCTCGGACTAGCAGAAGAAGAAAAAACATTCATTTCGTGTATCAAAAAACAGCGCGATTCGAAATCATGACATCAGGGAAATCATGAGGAAACCAAGAGAAAAATTAATGCAAAACAGGGGAAATGCATTAGTAGGAAGTATTGTGTGTGTCTCTCCTCCTCTGTCTATCCATTGGTCAGCTGGAAGTAGATCATGAAATCAAGAGAACTGTTCACTGCTTGACATAAACACAGGAAACTAAAACCTGTTGACAATAGGTAAAAACCAATATCAGTGGTAAAGAGGAAAAACAATATAATAACAGTATTGTACTGGATAGAGTGAAAGCCGAATTGCGAATTGACAAATCGCGATCAATCTTCACCCAGAAGCACGGGTTCCAGTGTGAAATCGAATTCGTCCAGAGCAGCCATAAGACCTTGCACAGCCAGACGAAGTTCGGGATTGAGAAGAAAGCTTTTCGCGTCGTACATTTGTCCTGTTATCGGACTCAGAGCGAGTACGGAGAACCAACCGGCCAGAAGATGTTCACGAGCCGCACGACAAACGAAACGCTGCGTATGTAGACAGGGTAAAAGGAGAATGGAGAATTCACACCAAACCTAGGCAGTCAGGATTGAAGCCATCGTAGAGCACAGCATGGAAAAAGATTAACCGCAAAAGTTTGTCGAGGTTCTTAATAGCCCGTGATAATCTGTCACTTTATGACACCGACGTGGTGGGCTTGACCCTTGTGACAACGGCTCGTGTAAGAGTCTAAAAATCATTAGTACAGATGAAAGTCTACGTGTTTTATGATGGAGTTACTAAGAGAACCGTAATCTCTGATGCATACTTAGACTGGGAAACCTTGGTATCCTGTGGATCGAACCTTGCCGCGGCAAGTTCATGCTATTCAGTTGTTTACAAGGTGCATCCATGCATACTTGATGAAGCCGGCATTGAGTGCCTCTATACTTTCTCACCAATTGACCTGTTTGTACATACACAGCTAACGAGATTTTACCGGGTTACACGATAAGAATTCCCCAGGTGGGAGATTGGGGCATAATTCACGTCCAAATTAGTTGCATACAGAACCGTCCGACAGAAATGAGAGACAGAACAGAAAAACAGAAGGCGAAATAAACGATCAAGTAGATCTGAATAAGTCATACCTGGAACTTTCCTTCTTTGCCCAATAGCGCCGCACTCGTAGAAACTTGTTGTACGTGGTCGACAAATTGGGCTGCGAGATACTTGAGCAACGCGATTGACTGACAGCTCGCAGCGGTCAAGTTCGCTGCTGTGTCATAGTTAGTTTGTTCGTGTTTGAATTGTTGCGGTTGTTGCATCATCACGGAGGTCAAAACACGCATCACTGCTGGAGAGTTGGGCTGAGAAAGCGCATAGGTGCCAGGCATTGGTTTTGAAAACTGTGGTAGCCCTTCTAATTGCGTAATACGCTGATCCTGAACCAGAGAAAATGAGGGGGAGGGATGGATCGTTTTTGGAGTCATAGAGCCAACAGACTGAACGGATCGGTTGCGCGGTGGTCGAGGAAGACTGTGTGTGGAGAAACGTCCGGAACCCGTTTGTGGAGTGTGGACAGTGTTGGGCGATGGTGGTGTGGAATGATTCGATGCAGACATGCCTAGCTCAACGGCGAAGGCAGCAGCCACTTTCTCTAGTAAATCGGAATTCAGAGAAATTATAAAAGAGACAATGCAGTGACGGCGGTTGGTCGTCTTCGAATGATGTGCGAAGTATCCAGGAGGGATACGGTCATGTGTATTCGGAAAATTCAGCTTAATTTCGACCTGATTTGTACATTATCGATCCTGAATTGAGTTACACTCTCCGCATAATCACGCAACCGATTCATAAGAATCGATGCCTTTTTGAAGACTTTAGAGAAGAAAGCTGTCAATTTCTACGAATAACTGGTAAGGAAAAAAGTTATATAGCATCCAGATAGCCCTTAACAGTAGTTCCAAGAAAAAAACAGTACTGAATAGAGCCCAAGAATTCGTCATCCGAAGTTAGTCAAACAAACAGATAAGAAAGATGAGCGAAACAACACTAAGTATGACGGTGACAGACGATGCAGCCGCACATCTAAGTCGTAACAACACAATTAAGACGATTTGAGCAACGCCTAGTAAAGAACCCGAGAGAGGCGAGATGGCTCGATGGTTAGAGCGCGAATTTACTGACCGGAAGATCCGTGGTTCGAACCTGCATCTCTGCATCTCAACTTCTCCTGTCTATGTTTGGGCAACCTTGCAGTATCCCAGTCCATGTGCTTCTTTCGGGCGGCATGGCAGCTAGGCACCGAAAGGGCGCTACAGATGAACAGCTTTTTTACACTTTTGGCAAATAATCCTGTTTGAAAGAAGCGCTCATCATTTCGAATGTCATCAACGCAGTGAATATGATGACATCATCATCTTTATCTATAAAATTGAAACGCTGTCATGCCTACTTGTGGTGTATTTCCATAGGCTACAGTGGTCACCAAAATGTGCTGTACCGCGTTTTTATTATCAATAAGGGGTGTGAAGATAGGCCATAAAGATCGCTATCTGTAAACTCAGCAACAATGGCTTGATTGTTGTTCAGCAGATGCGATGGAACGTGATTCATCACCATTTTTATTATAGCTGCACTTCCGTACATCAACTCAACGGAACTGTCGGACTATTTCTCGACTCAGTAAACGACTTGGTAATGTCTGAATGCGAATATTATGACCAGAAACTCTCGTGTGTAAAATGAAAACATCGGTGACTAAGTATCCGTGGTAGGATCCCAAAACACCAGCTATGAGGTCCCACGTGGAGATTGATGACAATTAGGGATCGGCAATCGGAATACCTACTCTACTCTACAGCTGGCCATCTCCACTTACCGAAATAGTCCCACACGTAGACTCGTCGTTGGAACAAGCGAACAGATCGGAAACCGTAATTGAATACCAAATGCAAGGAGGGCACAAGGCCACGATCTCCACACCACAGAGAGGTTAGGCCGGTCATATTTTGACGGGGAACCGTTTTGCAAAAGTATTTGAGCAGTTGATTGACCGCATTCGCCACTTGTTCGTGGATTACCATCGCACTCATGTTTGCTAAACACAGAATGAAATCAAGTTGATGATAAAATGCAAACTGGGAAAAGCACTGAAACAGGGACTTTGCACCCCAACCTGTTTTTGTAACTTGGGATGTCCTCATGTGAAATTTATTTTATATGTTAGTGGTTAGTAGTAAATACTTAAAGTTCTAGCCGAGCGACTTGTGAGACGCTCGGAAAATTATAATGGTTGCCACTCTGACTACCATTCATTACGTGTAGTACAGGATGGAAACACAGGATGTGAAATAAGAGATTCACACTCTGGAGGTCTGATGGGAAATTATACACGCAATCTGTACAATTATTCACTGACACAAAAAAAACAATCACTCTTTTTTTCCAGATTATCTTAGTGGATCTAGTGACAAATACTGAATGCTGTCAGCTGCCAACGTTCGTAACTTGACCTCACATTTGTTTAGTATGGAAAAAAGGAAAGCCTTTTTCAGAAGTACGGATGATCACCGGCGCAGAGCGAAGCCATCGACTTGATTTTTTCTGAATACTACGGATGACAACCTATGTGAACAAACGTTTAGGGGTGGGGAAGGCGACATTAAGTGGGCGAACGGGCCATAGGAAATTCGTTAGGCCCTGCTGTTTTAAAAACAAAAACTTTGCTGTTGATTTGTTGATCGAAAAAAGAAGGTATCAGGACCGGAGGGTCCCTTTGAATGAATGCGGAGAATAACTGGTGAACCCTTTGAGAGAGCCCAGCGGCGCGATATGGAATGAACAGAAAGTTCCTGCAGAATGGGGCATGTCGACAGTTATTCCTACCTTCAAAGGGTACGCGGACGATGTGTGAAAAGCACTGTGGCATCAGCCTGATAGCTGTGGCATCGAAGGTGCTCTCTGGTCTCATCCTTCGAAGTTTGACTGAACACAGGAAGAGACATATCTTTGAAAACCAAGTTGTGTTCCATCCTCCAAGAGGATGTTCGATCACATTTTCACTCTTTGAAAGACACTGGAAAAGCGACGCTGTTTCCAACGCCCAACAATTGTTGTGTCGCTTGAGTTGGAAGCTGCCGTTGACCCTGCGAACCATTAAGAATTATGAAAGTATCTGTAAAGCAAAGGTTCCCCTCCTAACTTCATGACATTCCTGTACGACAACTCGCGCGCACTAGTAAAGGTCCACGGGAAGCTCGCGCCTGAGTTTACTACATCAAGCGGTGTCAGCCAAGGTTGTCCTCTTCCACCTTTCATCTCCAATTCCATCACTGATACGAGTATGGAAGACACCTGTAGAGTCGAAGTGCTCCTGAGGTATTCGTTCAAATATATCCAGTGGCATGCGCTTCACTCCAGAAGTGTAAAGTGCTACTGCAAAACTAGTTGGGCTCGAACCCTAGCCCCATGCTTACGGATGGGCCGATCGAGGTAGTAGACAAATTTCTTTACCTGGACAGGTGCGAAGTCCCAGTGGTCTCGTGAAAGATATTTCCATCCAGACTGGGAAGGCCAGAGAAGCTTTCGTAGAACTGCACCACCTGTGGCGTAGGCGGGAAATCAGCTTAGGCGTCAAGGGTGGAGATTACAATGCTGCGGTGGGGTCCGTATTGTTATACGGATCAGAAACCTGGCCGCTGCGTGCCGAGGGCGTCAAAAGACTTTTACTGTTTGACCATCGATATTTTCGGAGCATTGCCCGAGTACAGTGGCAACGTCGGATCATGCGAACGGTTTACCAAGAGAACTCGCCCACGATAGATGAACTGATCACACACCATAGTTTGCGCTATCTTGGTCACGTGCTCCGTGCCAATCGACCGATTTTCTCGAAGTGCTCTTTTCTCACAAACACGCAAAGGGTGGAAACGAGCCAGGGGAGGCCAAACAATATTTAGATTCCAGTTGGATCACTTTCCACAACGATCCGGTTTGATCGGCCGGTTTTGCTTACATCTTGAACCACAAACACGGGGTGGAAACGAGCCAGGGGAGGCCAAACAATATTTAGATTCCAGTTGGATCACTTTCCACAACGATCCGGTTTGATCGGCCGGTTTTGCTTACATCTTGAACGTATTTCGTAAACTGACCAAGTGGGTCAGCCACAAAAAGCCAAGTTGATTTGAATGAACCGATCGAAAAATTCCTCCGTTGGTCAACAGATGACACGGCCGAACAGTGTCATTCGGTCACATCAGTACTCCAGGAGCCGAAAAGTGATGAGCTAATGAGAAGAGGCAGCAGGGAAGCCAATTCAACTGGATGTGTGACAGACTGGTGAAGTAGTTCAAAACGTACCTAGAAGACCATAGACTCGGGCACCCATGCAGTGCGCAATTGCCGTTTTCCAAACATGTTCATACAAGGATTGTCAGATAGTTCCGAAACGGATGTAGGAATACCTCGGAATAAACGCCCTAGATACCGTCAGGCTAAGCGCCAACTATCGATTTAACGCACAGCTACCACAGGGTCGACATTGTTTGTTTAGACTTCACCGATGAATTTTCCTTCATCTACCATCTGTATCTTCGGCTGCCAATCGCTCATCCCTAGATTTTGAACTCATGAAGCACGTACTCCGGCTTGAAAAGATGAGAAATCTTGTTTTTCTCGGGACTGGAAACAGATTTCTTCAGTTCGGGTACTCCGTAATTTCGAGTGAAGACTGGTAACGTCAGACTGAAGTGACTACTTTCGGTTTCTAAAGTTTCGTCCCTACCATCCTTCTACCGGTATGTCAGAAAAGTCCACCAAAAACTAACAGAGCGCAAAGTAGAAATGGCCGATTTTGAACAAGCGATGCCCTGCTCGCTTCGTTTTAAATGAGACTTGACAGATGATTCGTGAGGATCGTGAAAAGCTAGGAACAATTAGGCGTCAACAAGTAGACTTATTGCGTAACGGCTTCCGACGCTAGGGTTCAGTCAAGCCAAATACAATCGATTCACATACGCTGTGCGCACACGTTGAGATTGATTGCGAAAAATTGGAACTCTAACATATGAGTAATGGACCTTGTAACACTAACCTGCTGAAGAACCAATCGGGACGAAACGCTCGGTAGACTGCTATTCCAGGAATGACCAAGTCTACTCGCAAGTATCAATTGGGAAACTCCATGAAATGGTTCGGCAATAATTAAACCCTAAATTGGGATCACAGACAACTATTTGGTTATTCAAAAGTAGTTCGTTCCCTGACGAATTTCGATGGAATTTAGGTCAAGTATTTGGACCATGTGTGAGCAAACTGTGTGGATATCAACCCATGAGATTAAACGTCGGGAGGGGGCGCAGAAATACGTAAACTGCATTTTTTAGGAAAAGCTTTTGATTTATTGCGATTGGAATTGATGTGCTCAATATTACTCGCCTTTTGCGCTTGTATGCAACACAAGAATCGGGTTAAGTCATTTCGGTTCTGTGTCGCTAATTTATGCGCTGGTCCATTTCCTGTTGTTGTGTGTAATTATCATGCTCTCATTGTCATATAGACCCCATCCCAGTTGGACCCACTGTACTTTTAACTGACGAGGAATCGATCGTTGCAGCCTCCCCACGACCTTGTTCAACTGACCCTATCATTGTTTACCATCCCATTCGTTCTTTATGTTTGATCCGGCGGTAGATCATGTGACCGATTTAGCCTTCTGGTGAAAAGCGAAAGATGACACAACATACATCACTGACACCCCTTCGTCTATGTCCCGGTGAACTAACTATTCTTGCGCAAACAGTAATTGTCCCTAAGCCAAGTCTGAATTCGAGGTCTCGCCTGTTCGACACCACTGCTGAACCACAGAAACATGGTATCTGCCATTTCCAGGTAACGCAGCCTGACGTCTGACAAATGATTGCACATGGTAGCCCATTTGTGGAGATACCGGCCTACAAGGAGACCCTCACAAAAGAACTCATTTAGGCGTGTAACGTGATGAACTTTCAAGAGGCCAGAACCCTCCCAAATCAGCTCACGGAACAGACCATTTCCAGTCCGTCATGGCAGGTGAATCCAGCAGTCTGACTGGAAGTGAACCGATTCAGAACTTTTTTTACCGGTAAAGTTTGAATAGGCGAATTCTCGCAAATGGAAGAAAGTACCGTATAGCCCCGTTATAATGACACTAACCCTGAGTCAAATAGTTCTCTATTCTACCGTATCATAACACCGTCAGAGCCTAGATATCTGTCGTCCGTCACCTGAATCGAGCTTACTTCGTCAAAATGATCATGTGATTCAATAAGTGCTATCCTGACAGTGTTTATGGCAGCTGTAGATAGATGTCGTTCAGTTTAACTGCCACGACACGATTCTATTAATCAGCGATTAATTGGCCGCTGATTAGCTGGGCATGTCTCAGCTTATCCACCTTAGCAACATATGAGTATTCATCACCACTCGTTTAACTACAGAGGTCGCTTGACTCCAGGTTTTCACGAGATTTGCAAATTAGTGTTTCTCGAAAACAGTCCAATTCGGGTTCAAGTAGAACGTAAGGTTGACGCAAACTCGGGGACTGCGCCTACCTGATGAGCCCCAAAAAGGGCGAAACCGTTTGTGGGCTGTCGAAGAGTTTCCAGCAACCTTGTGAGTATTTTCATTTATGAAAGATACATACTATTCGAGCAACTTGGGTCACGAATATATCTCACCTGTACACTCAGGGTCGTACAAATATACGCTGTTGCAGCAAACGATTACATTAACCTTGTTAGTTGTCTTGCCATAACGTCAAAGATCAAGGCTTCTGGGCTGTAGGCACAGCAGGAATTTATTGACACAGGAGTGATAGCAGCAAGTGAGCCGAAGTAAGCCAAAGATCACGTTAGTTCCATGGAACACGACAAAACAATGAGCAACTGTAGGTTCCATCAGGCCAGCTGAAAGCTGGACGATGCAGATTTCTGATGGATACAACCATCAAGGCCATCAATCTAGCCACGAGCCTTTTCGATAGTGCTTGTACCATTTTTCAAACTAAATGAAGACAAATGCCTCGGACGCAACATCCCGAAAAACCTATCGATAAAATAGTCGTGTCATGTGAGAATGCAACACGACCCCTTTACATAAAACTAATAGGTGAAAAGCAGCTCTGTCATACAGTGCCACCCTTACTTATCTCCATTTTTCAAACAGCTGATGGTGGGCTGTAAACCGTCTTTGGGCAAAACTTAACCCATATGATCGTTGGTGCACATCTGAACAAACATGTTCTACCCTGAAAGATGATTCATTAATAAGTCAAAAAGATAACCGCGCGCAAAGCACAAATAGGTACTCACAATTGTCCGATACACGCCGTGTCAAGCTAGGCGACTGACAACGATTAGGAGGTCGTTGTAATTGATCTGATGGATCCCGAGGTGGTCCGGTGAAAATCAGGCCTATAGTTCGGGAGAAGGGAGAAATAAGGCGCGTAAGAACACCAGAAATCAACACACTGGATTCTTGAAAAACCAGCAGCAACGGGTAGAATAATCCGGTGAACTTGATGAGCCTAAGTTACGGTTGTGTCAAGTGCAATCGGTAGTAGTGGAGTTTTCTGTGCACGCGGACGTTTTCAATTAGACATTGACTGCAAGTAGAGAGGAGATTTGGAAATTTCAGTCGGTGGTCCATCCTGCAAATGAAGTCGTTTTCACCTACATCAATGAGGTTTGTATCAACTTACGGATCTTCTAAACAGATCCTACGCGTCCAACACATAGTCTCAGTGTATCGACTGCGTGGGTAACGATCCGGACCTAGTATGGCGCTTAACTGGAACAGCAAGCCACACAGGTGTAATCAAGGCACTCATCGACAGTATCCTGGTCGTTTTCGAACGTTCAAACCAACATAGACGTGGTTAGATGTAAACCGGAGGTATGTCGCTTAAACATCTACCATAAAAAATCTACCTTAAAAATCTACCATCTAAGGAACGTCAACTAATACTTTTTGGTCATCTTTTTATTTGGTCGTAACGCTACAAGAGCAGCGAAAAGAGGTCCAAAACTGCTAGAAAAAAACGGAATGTATACCAGACAACTGAAGTGTGGCCGTTTCGCAGTAGACTCATCAATGCAAACAAGGGTAGTCTGTTTGATGAATAAGTCTGACAAGGTCATCAACAGAAGCGCCTCATGATTTAACGGGGAATAAACTTGCCCCCAAAAAATCAATGATTAAACAACCACAGTCCATAAACAAGCTCTCTGTGACAACAATGAAATACCAACGCCCTGAAAGAAGCAACCCTTTCGAAAGAAGTAGAAACTTCAATAACGGAAAAATCAAAAAATCAGACGAGAAGACAAAAAAAATGGTTTACCAGTGGAACACCATTAATCTAGTTGGAAAAGCTGTGCAAATTAAATTACATAAAGAACCCGTAGCGAGGCTGTCACCAAAAGCCAATTCCAAGGAGAAAGATGAGGAAATGTTATCGGGCTGTTTGAAGAATTGGGCACCATCGACACTGCATTAGGACGTTTATCCTGGTGGTATTCTGATGCATGCCAAGATTCAGGTCTAACAGATGTATCTATTTTATGCCAAAACACAACGGCTCACGCAATGATGTGATGAACAGTGTCCCATCGGACTGCAAGCATTGTAGATTTTTTAGTTACTACCGGTTCATCTGACCAATGAGTAACGTATGGCGCGTTTCAGTGCGACCAGAATGAACAAAATATCCCCGTGAGTGACTGTTATACGTATGCATCGAGATAAAGTGAACAAATAAACGTCGCTTCACAATGGAGTTTATCCGTATTACTTAGATAGTGACAACTTTAGGGATATAGTAATGTTTATTGATTTTCCAGGCTCGGAACAGCACATGGATGACTGCGTAGGAATTCAGGTTTCCTGGAATATATTGACGTCGCTTAAAGGTAATGCCAGGCATCCTGCCTTGATTGATGCTGTAGCTAGAGGATAGTGTGTACGGAACACTCAGATCGAACTTTGCCGGGGAATCAAACGGTTGTGACCTTAGGAATCCAGTTTGTGGACCGCACATAAAAAATAATAAAATCGTTCAGCTGCAAAACCCTTTCAGTACCTACCTGGCGTGCCACCAGAATGAAGCAAGAGGGCTGGGATACTGCCAGGTTGCCCAAGCCTAGACAGGGGAAGTCGACATGCAGGGTTCGAACCACGGACCTTACAGTCGGTAAATCCGCGCTCTAACTCCCTGGACTGAACATACGCCATATGATGAACGTTATCGCAATAACTGAAACTGGGTTCCCAAACGCATTAGTATTGTCAGATGTAGGCATTCTGAAGACATACGGGTGAGAGTACTTTAAGTTGAGAAATACATTTTTGTGGTGACATTCCACAAAATGGTAATGATGGCGATTTCCTGGCAAAGTAATTAGGTCGCCAGTTGTCTGTCTGACGATTAGCCGAGTTTATCGACACTGATAGCGCACTTTGCACGTACTTACCACACCAGTACCAGATGGAGATGTTCAGGTACTGAGTCACAAGGAATAGAATAGAGGATGCCTAGTCTCTACATAACGGCATTAGAATTCGAAGAATGAGTGCCGGTTCCAAAAAAAATACCGGCACCAGGCTGCACAATACAGTCGAGTTTTTCACTGAAGGTCTAAAAGTTCCACAAACAAATCTCTCTGTTCCCCCTCTTTTGCTAAACGATTCTGTAACTGGCGACACTACTGTATCTTAGTAAAACAAACTGGCGCGACAGCTTCTGAGTAAAAGTAAAACTCCTATATCGAATAATCCGACAAACATTGGGAGTCTGTGAGTCTGTGGCAGTATCTTGGCTCTCGTACTTCCTTCTGGTGGCAAGGCAGTTAGGCACCAAAAGGGTGATACAGCTGAACGATACATCTCTCCAAATTTTATCAGAATAACTAATTGCGATATGCGTGAAAACAACGGAACTGAATGAAACTTTTGCATAGCTTTCCGATTCCGTGATTACTCTGTTGCCGGCATGGCCCCAAAGGAGCGGCGCGTAAAAGCTACGAGCTATAATGAAGGGATGGATATAGGTGGTGCCAAATCAACGCAGAAGAGTGTGAGAAAATAATTGGGCACAACAAGTCTCTATTATGGGGTTAGGTGCAAACACAGTGAAGTGTGCTTTGAGAAGGAGGTTATAAAGTGGAGTGATACTGTGGAAAAAATAACCAAGTGGGACCAAAGCACCACCACACACGTTCCAACAACAAGCTCTGATACGAGCCATCTGGATAAGCAGAGAACAACGGCTTACTGCAACGCAGCGAATGGGAGGAATACCATCAAATGCTAGAAAGGAGAGAAATGTTGTTTGATGGAGCATGCGCGGATAGAAAAAAACGCGACGCCAGAAAGGAAAAGCATGCATAAATTATGCGGTTTCTCGAGAAATACACTCATTTGCAAATCAATTTGGTTTTCACGAGAGACTCAGTTGAATCTCTCCTTTATGATATTCTATAGTGGGACAAGAAAAGGTGACAAAGGATGCCACGGACCCCATAGAAACACGAAGGCTCACAGGCCTTAATGAGCCTCGTCCCGCAACACAGTTCATGTCCAGCTTACCAAATAGTGTTTTTGGACGATATCATACGAATCAGGTAATTTACAATAGAATAATCGTCGGTACATCGATTCTTATGTGAGATACCAACAAAGGATCATCGACATAGAAACACAGTACGATGAAAATCCATATGAACGGTCACCACTCGGTCGATCCCGAAGCAGCCTTTTCTTATCAGGAAGTTCATTCCCCCATTCTCAAGGACGTAAAGCAACCAATTCTACAGTGTATGAATAAAAAATGAGCGGGGACATAAGGCCCGGTTTTATCTGTACCCTACAACCCGCTTCGAAAATACCGTGAAAAATGACCCCTTTCTGGTCTACAAATTTCCATCTTGTTCTCCGTTAGATAGTTAGTGAAATGAATCGTAAACTTGAGCAGTCAGTGCGATCATGCACAGCAAACCGCCAGTTACGCCAATGCTGCATCAATGGAAGAATCAGACAGTCAAAATGTACTGCATGAAATCGGCGGTGAGGTTGAGTGGATGAGGGGCGCAGAAGTCACGTGAGCCATCATTGTTGACCTAAATACGCTCTTGTGTTGATCCACCCAAAATTCATAAATAGCGATGTAGATTTGTCTTTAAAAAGCTCATGAAGGGGTTCCTTATAAGAATTCCACAGAAGAAATTCACGAGAGGAATCATATCACCGTTCTGTTTGCCAAGCTTAGCAAATGTTCTGTCATTGCTCAAGGAGACATCCTGAGTGTGCAGATCAGTGTGCTGTAATTGTCGTTCTGCTGCAAATAGAATACTCCTGTGTTGGCTAAATTCTTTTATCGGCACACACTGATATCCTTCAGAGCAACCACCGCGTAGAGTAAACGACCCAAATTATAAGAGATTCGTCAAACAAACGAGTGCTGTCGTCGACCGCAGCTAAAGCGGTTAGAACCAATAATAGAACCACTTCCATGATTAGGCCGTCTAAAGTGGAACTCACAATGGATTTTTAAAAAATGAAGCGGCAAAGTTACAAACCGTGTACATTCCTTAGGAACCTTGAAGAACTGGGAGAACTTACGTGTGTCTCGATCAGCCAGATGTATTCGCTCACCGATAAGAATACGCATCAGAGCATCGTCTTCCACGCCGCGGCCGATCCAGTGACCACAAGGGAAACTATTTTTTTAAGAAAAATGCAAACCATATAATGCGCCTTTGAAATTCGTGATTGAAATAAACAAAGATCATCAAAACACTAAGCCGCCATAGAATACAAACTCGATGTCTCTGGTCAAAAAGCTAGATAGCCTAATAAAAGAAAAACGACATTCTGCTTGCAAATGTGAGTTGAGATTGATCACTGACAATATGGACCAAGTCAGTGTCACGTGTGAATGAACGTCGCCCGATCAAAAACGGATAGAATAATCGATCCGACAAACGGATTGACAGCGCAACAAAAATAACGACTTGTCACACATATTGAACTGTCAAAGTGTGTATCAGTGTGTGGCTAATGTCACCGACTATAACTGGGTTGTCTTTGTAACCCTGATTTTGCCTAGGTGTGCACCGCACTCACACGTAAAGTCCATCTTACAAAAATTTATCCGAAATATGCCAACTTACGCATGGCTTTGTTTATCGACTCTGTCTAACGACAATTATTATGCTTCGTTATAGGACATTCTTTCCGTTCTTACATTATACACGCAACCCTGAAGCTGTACGTACAGTTCGTGCTATGGTAAACCTGGTTGGGGCTTCTGTACCAATAACGGAGTATATTGTACCGAACCAGAGACTAGTGTAAGCCGGTCAGAAAAAAGCTTTCCAAGAAATATATAGACAGCTGGAACTTACTAGTACAAATGGTTGGTAATTGCACTGTACACGAGGACAAACTCGATGAACCACTTTGGAGTGGGGCCTGCATTGTCATGACCCAGCTGGATAGTGGAGAGCAAGCCGAGGTTGGTGTGCTGTGAAAGCAGAAGCAGGAGTATTGTGCATAACATAACGGAACTAAAGAATATGAGTCTAGTCACAGATGAGGAAACAGAAGTGTGATTCAGATCCGGGTTTGTTTGCTAAGTGTGAACGCCAAATTGCTATTTAAACGAAATTACTTAGCCTTCGCCTTGTTTGATGAAGCACACTAAACAGTTGTCTGACCGATCACTGCAGACTCGTATAAATGTCAGGTATTTGTGCCCGTACTTTATTTTGAAAGTACTTGAACCGTAGGATGGACGATTCCACCGACATGCCTGGGAGAGCGTGACTCGGTACATTCATTCGCGGAGGCATAAATGATCTGGTGTCACAGTGTACGCGTGGCTTCAGCAAACACAGAGGGCTGCAGACGAACAAGTGTGCTATCTGCATAGTGTTCACATCAATTAGCAAAAGATATCAAGCAGCCTCCTCATCGGGTTTTCACCGAGTATTCAGCCTGACATTTTGCAGCTTTCGGCGTTAAAAGCGAATCAATAAATTTTTCTCCAATCCAATGACATCACGGTGAACGCCTTTCATTCCTTTGGTTTGCCACGACCTTGAACGCAGCACATGAGCGAGCAGTCGTCAGGTAGAATCTGTACAATAGCCGTTGGATAATGAACTTGGTTTGGCCAACATAACTTGCCCTCATACGGTAGCCGGATTCAGCTCAGTTGTCAGTGATGGGGTCACCATTGCTGGTAAAAGGTGAAAGGTTGCATTAAGTGGGCACGAAAGACAGCGATAGCCTGCGGGTATACGACAGGCCAGCCAGTTGTGGGCGCTGACTCTCCGGCAGCGCTCTTATGTGACCTGCACGCATTTTCACCGTAGTAAAATAAATCCTGTAAAACTATCCGACGCATTAAAAATGACTGCTTACGTGCATTTCAGCAGCATTGTTTGATAAGAACTTAAACCTTCCCCGTCCAGGCCGCGACCTGTATAAATGTTACACTGCAATATGCAATTCTTACTTCACCTACTGAGGCACATCGGTAGCAATAAGCAGATTGTACTGTACACAAAATTCGCCCAACGAGCCTACCAAATACATTCCTACATGTGACCCACGTGACAACATCCAAGACCCATTTACAAATAATTCACATCAGAGCGGAGATCCCTGAACTCACTAAGACAGGCGGATAGTACCGTCATTACGAAGGCAGACAAAGCTAAAGTCATAGTAGTAATGACCAAGGGCAACTTTCTTCAAAGGTTTAAGCAGCGAATCGCCGATGGACCCTACCGGCACTGTCCCTTCAGTAATGAATAAGAATGAAGTTGAAGCTGGTAGATACCTAAGATCTACAATAAACCATTCAGGATAATGTAAGTGGTATCGGTTGTACTCAAAAAGTACGACTCAACAACGACTTTACAGACTACGAAATATCCACAAGGCAGACATCCCGATAAGACCACTAGTGGATAGCACAGGCTCGCCACCACATGCGTCAACCAGATTCTTGGCTGGTATACTAAAACCACTTGCGGGGACATCAAATACCTTCACTAGGAACTTGTACGATTTTGCCAAAAAAAAGTCGCGGGATTTCCCTTGGAGGTAGATTAAGTCCTCGTGAATTCCGACGTTGAGGGCACAGAGTGTGCTTGAACCTTGGCCAGTTTGTTTTTTCCGATGCAGCTGTTCAGTCTTGCAATGGGATCTCCAATATCCCCAGTTCTAGCTAATATTTATATGGGAAATTTCGAACAAATGGCACTGGTAGGATATCACCGTTCGCCGAAAATTTTGTTGTAACCAAACGTGATGAGGTCACCAACTTCCACGACTATCCCAACAGTTTACCATGCAGGCAGAGACCACCTCGGGCACACTACCGTTCCTGGATGGTATGACACGCAAGAATGGAGGAAAGTGAAAAACTACGAGAAACACTGGGACTGTTTTAAACTACTCATCAGCACACTCAAAGTCCGTGTACACCAGTATGGTCTCATCAGTGTTTAGTCGGATCAGAGCGCTGTGTGCGGAAGAGGTCCACCTAACGGCAGCTCAAATCGATAGTATCAAAAACCCTCAAGAAATAGGATGCCCGGTGAATTTGAGTAGGCAGCACTTAAGAAGGATATTGGCTGAGTTATCACGGCCCAGTAAGATTAGCACAACAGTCATTCTGTGTATAAAGCAGGAACATAGGAGGTTATTCAAAGACTGCTGAACATAGCCAACTTCCAAGTGGCGTTCCAGAAGGGAGAAACGTTAAGCTCAGTTTTAGTGAAATTGAAGGATCCCCTCCCGGATGAAAGGACTAGGGATTGTGTGTATAAAATTAAACACAACGATTACACTAACGTTTATATAGGACAAACATCCACGGGACTGCACACCGGAATTGGCGAGCATAAGGAAAGGATAAACAGAATGTGAACGAATACCAAGCACTAGTCAAAGACAGCGATGGCGGTACATGCGCTAGACACAGGACACAGAACATTTCTGGGGAATGGATCCAAGCCATAAAGTCTGACGGCCGAGTAGGTGGAAATCACCAGGCTCAATGAATCAACGCCGTATAATCCCGAAGCTCTGGACCTTGATTGTTCTTCAGAATCATATACGGGTGGAAAAATTATGCAGAAACCAGCCCTTTTTCATCGACGGAGTGGAATTCGATGAATCCACTGACACCGGCGAGGCACCGCAGTTTTCAGGAAAACGGAAATAGGTAGACTCAACGAGAGGCACATAAGTGAATTTTAGAGATGTTTCTAAATCACTCGAGTTGGATCCTGTTTCGGTTTACCGACGTTTTTAATCCCGATTAACTTTGCGGCGCAAACGGTTGTTCACGGAATTCACATGTGTATCGGTGACGAACAGGGATTCGTATTTTAAGCGCACTGGGAACTTTCGCGAAATCTCACGCAAAACAGGAAGTAACGGAGAAATAGGCGAAAATGTCAATTGTTTATCGTGGCTCGCGGTCAAGTTTTACCACCTTCCATTCTGAGCTCAAATTGTCACTTGTCTTAACACAGGATAATGACTATCATCCACCACTCGAGAATGAAATAGCTAGACGTAATACACTACTCATAAGGTTGCTGAAAATTCTTCGACAGCCCATGACCAGCTTCGCCCTTCTCGAGGTTCATGAGGTAAGTGCAGTCCCCGAGTTCCCGCCAGCTTAGTTGAGCCCAAAATTGCACGACACTAGCGAGTTGCACTTATTTGCAAACCGATTTGGTTTTGCAGGAGACTTACCTGGGGATGAAGTGTACCCTAGTAAAGTGTCCGCGATGGAGTATTCCGGGACAAATATAGTAGCACCGTGTATTAAATGGTGGACCACAGTTCGACTTCCGTCGTTTTAATTAAGCCCTCTTGAGTAGGAAACAGCGTTTGCTGATTTACCTCATGTAAAGTGTCCGGCTCTGACAACGAGATCATGTATCAGCGCAACGAATCATTTACCAACCTCCTTTCCCGAATAGTGACTGTTAATTACGTGACGTTACCTGTCACCGTCCCATCACCTCACATTTGACAAGGTGAGATTCTGCTGATTGGGGTATCATATCAGCCAAGTCGATTAATGTAGAATTCGCCATAAACGAATCAAACGGATCCACAGGACAGACTGATCAGCACAAAACAAGAGCTCTTTGCGCGACTTTCACAAATGGCGAAGCCATCCCAGAGTCATCGGTTTGATTTGAAGTGGAAAATCTCGTATTGAGAACTGAATCAATCCTCTCATTTATACCATGTCAAGTGTGATTGGGCGGTGATACCAAATGGGGTAGAGTGCAATACTCAAGACTATCAAAAAACGAGTGTTCATGGTACCGTTTCACTTCCCCACTCAGCGGAATATATCCAAAATATGTCAAAAGACCTTTCAGATGTGATGCGCATGTTCTAATCAAGGTCAACAAGTTTTCCAGTTGCACTGGGAAGAAACTTTACCAAGCACAAAAGCGGTACACCAGCTCGAATGTCAGTCAAAGTTGATGCATAATCACCGCTAATAAGTTTAATTAGTTGAGACATAACTGAGATACAAATGATTTGATGTGTTGCGGTGTAACTGGTTTAGGAAGCTTTCAGTAGGTGGAAAAGCAAACCGGGACCTAAACACGGCATAGCATGAAGCGACCGGTCAGGGGTAACTGAGATCTTATAGCGAGGCGGGTCAATAGGCTAAAATTTCATGTAATATTATGAAGAAAACCGTCAAAATACAATTTTAAACTTAGTAGAGCAGAAGGCAAATACACACTTACCTTGAACTCTAACAAATTCTCTCCTCTACTCAGAGGGAGGACGGGAGTGGAACCGAGATGGCCATGAAGACGCACCCAAGCAGTGGCGGTAGATGAAAATCCATGTTTCCGTCCACTGCAGATAAATACTTGATACATCAATTGAGCGTGAGTCAGCATTCGGGTAAACGAGTAATAGTCCACAGCGTTTAGTGAGAGTAAATGTACCAAGAATTGTTCCCGCTCCTCTTCACAACGTAAGAATGCATACCGTGAATATAATTTCCTGAAATTTGAAGATATCCTCTTGGTAAGAAGCTACAGACTGATAATCATAAAACCGGTGATTGTAAAGCATGTAAAGCATGAACACTGTCATAAGTAGTACGATGGAACTATGCGAAATTCGCCGTCAGTCGATTTCTGGTTTTGTCCATAAAGTGAAAGCAGTCCCTGGATTCAACCGTTCTATGGATTGTACTTGCATATTCAGTCAAAAAAGAGTGTGAAAAGGGATTCCTTCGAAGCTAACAGCAATCTGGTGGGCGAATATATATATATATATATATATATATATATATATATATATAATACCAGC